CTCCGTTATTCACATGTGTTGAGATTCTAGTCGTGGGATTTGCATGTGAACAAAGTGTGTATGTGTGTGTGACGGAAAAATAACTTGATTGGGAAGTGTAGATCCGGTGAGATTCAATTTCCCGTTTAAGACACAAGTTGTATCGAATGGTGGACTCCCAGCTAACTAGCACACCTCTTCCTGAAATGACTATCCCGATCTGTTCCTCAGGCCTTTGCCTCTTCATCAACTCTGTACTCCGACACGGAAGGATGTTTCGATAACTACTGCTCAAACTGAATAATCCTGCCCCATGGGTTCACATGTTGAGGTTCTAAGTTTTACTCTGGACCATTTAACAAACCTAACGCTTATCATGTCCCACGTACAGTCTCACTCCTGGCGTTTCTGTCCTCGGTGTCACTTCGGGACTGTTGATTTTGTTTCCAGATCAAATTGACGAGTTGATCCATTTATGACACTTTTTAGTTTGATATTCGGTTTGTCTCACCGAATTCCCATAGTAAAACCCTTTGGTGCTCTTCTGTTCCAGTCAGTCTTATCATGTCCGTTGTGGATTGACACAGTTGATGAGTATATCTCTGTTCTGTTCGGAATGTGATGAAATCCGTCCTGGAGTTTGTGTGTGATTCTGACTTTAAGGCGGGCTTAGCGACAATCAACTCGTTCTTTCTTTGGGGTTGAATAACCATAAAACGGATTTTTGGGTATACAGTGGGATACATAGAAGAGGAAAGAGTGGACACATAGAATGTGTATGAAATCAAAACCACTCAGTTGTTTTTTCATCCGAGTCCGTTAATCCCTGCGTTGGAAGTGAACACTACCGGACCTACCTCTTTTCCGTGAATAGGAAAATGATCAAATAGATGAATAGACAAGTATCACTTCACTAAACTAACTGTGGCGGGAAGTCAGTGGCAATGTCTGAGGATGTGGTAAATTTCCATGCGATAAATCATGCACCTACAACAAAAAATCCACCGTAGAAAGAGTGAATTGGACACGCACGTGATTAAGGGCCATCGTCAACATAGTGCTGTTCTACAGATAGAATACTTGGTTGTGCAAGGGTAAGATGTGCATCCTCAGAGAAAATGGAAATGTCACTTTGTACGCCATCTGAAATCGTGCAATGCGAACATACTCCGGGCTCCCCAAGCGCATCGGAGTTGACACAAATTCCAGACAGGATGTGGTCCGGCTGATGTACCCGCAGGTACGAGACTAAGCGATGATTTGGATAACAAGGTAGCCGTGGTGCGGGATTGTGAGGCAACACAGCAATCCGTTCCTTCCTTCGTGGATCAAGGTTAAAGATAAATCTGCAAAACAAATGAAACAGAACACCATGAACCCAAATGATCCAGTGAGATACAAGATGCGATAAAGTAAAACTGCCGCAGTTGTCAAGCGTTAGAATTCATCAATGAAATCGGCTTATCCTCATTAATCTATTGTTGTCAACATATTTACTTTCACTGTCTGTTTAATGATGATGTAATGAAAATAATCTGGATGATTTTATAGAAATAAGAAAGATCGATGTTATGACCGAAAATTGCGGTTTGTGGATCTTTTTACGCCCCAACAACTACATACAGTATTCTTTTAATCATTGAATGGCGAATCATTGTTGCCTTAATGTCAAATTTCTCATTGGCCCTCACGTATGCATCCATCGCAGAGGTCATATCAAAGCTGTGTGGGCAAGTGGTTATCCGCACGGTGCGGTGTTCTATTTGGACCCGGAGAACAACGGCACCGCAGCAGCAGATTCAACGAATCCCTCCACCTGGTCGATGGAATCCATTGCAAAACCACATCGCCTTCGTATCGTGCCAATTCCCCCGGACGAAAAACCCAGTCCCCAGCCTACTTCCTCCTCGTCGGACATAATCGACCGGTCCGAGAGAACAGCCCACTCGACCACGATCAACACCACAACCATCTGGGACAACAAAACAGTCAACGAATTTCCCATACGGATTCTCACAGATCCTGGTCGAATTCGTCACCGTAGGGGTTAGTCAGTTTTGAGAGTCTTTTTGTTTTCTTTTCATCTCTGTTGATTATTGTTTATGCAGATTCATCTAAAGATTTTGGTTTATGGCTTTTGTAGAACAGAATACGTTTCAACGAAAGTTTCTCATTTGAAATCCTCGTTTTTACAAAAACAATAGACCTGATTTGTTTACAGTTTATTGTACTGAATCACATCATGCTTCTATTCCGTCACAAATAAATGGCAACTGAGTGCAATTATCACGTACATCGAGGTTGTTATTGAAGATCAGATCGATAACCAATGCGTCTTTGGGGCAAGGAAAGAGAAATTAGAACTCATGGGGAGGGGGTAGAGAGAGGTTGAAATCTACTTTATTTGCCATAATGCAACTGACCCCGTCTTGGACATTCTCTGCAGTTTTGTTTAGGCCCATCTTACGCGTCTTGTATATATTATAATAAGTATTATGTGAATGACTTCAAAAATTTCCCTAGAAGAGTACACAATTGGTTTCGCGCTTCTTCCCGCTCGTCAGGCATGCATACCCGGAAATCTTTTGTCACCTCGTTCGCACCCAGGAAATGTATTGTCATCGCAATAAACTCATTTGCAACACCGGGTAAACTTGTTTGGGCCGTTCTTTCAGAATCGGTCAATTTATGAATCAGTACTATGATTCAATGTTTGTAGATGGGTTAGATGTTACCAACCGCAATGAACTTGACTTAAACGTCATTTTGGAATAGTTTACGAGAAGTAGTATGTGAATGACTATATATAATGAGAACACAGATCATAGTGAAAATCGCTTGTGGATTTTCCAAACTTGCATGTCTCCCCTGTTATTATAATTTTGAACCGATCATTCAAACACACAAAAACGGAATAAAATAGCGCTTCCAATGACAAAACCCCTCCGATAGTGACAACTAGACTAGATAGACATGACTGGGTTGACGCCAGAAAATCGATACGGGGAGGTAGGCATGACAGTCATGCCTTGCATTATGAGCACCACTGAACGACAACCAGTGTTTGATTGATTTCACTCGTTTTGTTATTGACGGAGTCCATTCTATTCGAATCGTTTGTATGTCCTGTAAAACATCACGTCGTGATTAGCTCTGAATTTGTCTAATTCGATCAGCTTTACGGTCGAAAAACTAAAGCTGGGATGAAGAACCCCTTCACCGTTTACAAAAGTAAGCACAATTATCGCTCCGTTTGATCGTCTTGATAAAAGTGATATATTCACAATTTTTTCGATTGTTGTTTTTATTGTTCGCAACTCGAGGGTTTCCAACACGTTTTCCCTGATTAGTGGGGAATAATAAACATTTGTCACCAGTGCCTTTCAAAGCTGGAAAGCACCGCACCAGTGTCCCATTCCCGTTGGTGATTATCAACTATCAGTGTTCAGCACGGCCAGGATTTATTAGACTGAATACGGACGTACTACTCACACAAACATTGAGTAGTCAATTTTGCTTCATTTGAACTGGACGATTTATCTTTGAGTGGTAACAACGAAGCTTTCACTGGCTGATATAAGAGCACGTAATGCGAGGATCAGTCAGCGCTTTATCACAACAGATACATACACTCCACTGTCCAAACGAGTATCCAGTGATGGATGGGTGATAAGTCGACCACAAGGTTTTTGTTTCGGTGCTAATTTGGGCCAAAGAATGTGCACCGAGTACAACTATACTGGACAAGGTTGAAACCGCTACGCGATCCTTCAGCCCTGCTGTGCACTGCGCTCGAATAACTGCTCCCAACACTGAATTTAAGTCATTTACTGGTTTTTCTTATCAGTTTGGAATATCTTCGAGTTCACAAAATCTAGCTACGCAAGCAACTGACCAGTCGCGGCAACGCATAGTGATGGACCAACTTGCCTATTCTCTCTCTCCATCTGTTCCTGGCACTTTCAAGCCTCTTTTACCATCGGTCCACATTCGCAGACTTGTTGATTCACTGCATGCTTTTTCAAGCAGTTAATGATATCGATTGGAAACCACGGGATTTGCGATCACATTTCCGTTCATCACCACCTCACTGCATTCATCGGCACCGTTTTCTAGAAATCGGAAACACTGTGTTATTGTACGATTTTTTTTCACTAGGTCTATCACTGGGGCCAGTGTCGTCAGTCCACACCCCCCACTGCGTTCTGCCGTTTTAGTCCGTGCACCTACACACACACACACACACACACACAACAGAGCCACGGGCTCACCCATTTTGGCGGTTAACTATCCGTCCGGAAAGGAGAGCATCTGCTAGTGAATACGCATGGGAATCTCCTCACCCCGGTCTCTGTCTCTCTCGTTCTCTCAATACACTGGCATGAACCCTGATGGTTTTTACCTCGAATCAATAGTGCTAGGAAAATACATCGTCTTTGTAGATCAGCCCTATTTCATTTCCGTGGTGGTCCCGTGAGTCGTTCTGCGAGCGAATCATTCCTGTTTGTCTGATGTTGGGGTGGGGTGGCTCAGGACGGGGTGAGACAAGGAGTGGGAAGCATACTGATTGCTAGACAGCTCATGGTCTGAGCTAGTCCTTCTGATCGCTGTCCGGTCTTCACATGGCGCGGCAGCCATCAACTTTTACCACAGTTGAGGCTCACTTATTCATAGACGTGTGCCCCCGGTTAGAAAAAAACGCTGTTCGACTACTGTTATTAGACCATTTACGGGTTTTAGATTGACTCACTGCCAAAATTTATAGTGTGACGTATGTCAGTCAAAATACGCCTCGGTTCTGAATATGTATACGATGGACTCGTGTCCGCGGTTTGTCCACCTCTGGTGCTTTGCTATTACGTTTCGGGGGCAGTGTGGGATCGTACCTGTGTGTGTGTGTCTGTGTGTGTGTATGTGTGTCGGGACAGTAGGGAGAAGGCTTTTTCCTCGAATCCCCAAACCTTTGCACGTCATCAAATGGACAGGTGTCGCTTACCTTTAATCAATGCCTTTTTTTCACCCTTTCACTGACTGCACATTCGTTTATGAAGTCGAACAATGTATTCCACTGGAGGATACAATGTAACACATTGTCCGTGACGGGAAGGGTATTGTTTATTGTACGGGCCAGTCATCCAACCTAACAGGATTCCTCCGTAGGATGATCACAGTCTGCGGAGAATCCGGGTCCGGCCGCCTGTATCCTAAGCCGTGCGTTTCAGTCCGTGGAGATATAAGACGTTAGATGTGGGTTAGATGTGCGGTCCTGGCCCGGTGGTAACGTCACCAACTTATCACCCTGGGGATGTGTGTTCGAATCTCACCACCGCTGCCTGACTTTCCCCGTTGTGTGTGTTGACTGGCAGCCCTTTGATTGGTCGCTTCCCCCCCCCGCCCTTCCTGAAAACTGTACTATTGCATGTTTAATAAAAGGAAGTAATAATGAAAAGATAAATTCCCCCCTGAACGGTCTGCAATGTGCCAGACGAGGTTTGCGAACGATACCGAAAACGGAAGTCTCAAAGCAGTTTAGCTTCGGTCGTGAATTCAGCACGATTTCAGACCCCAGTGCCCCTACGTCAGCACGGGCCACAACTACGATGCGTCACTTTCCGTGGACCCAAAGATGGGTTATATTCGTTACTCTTTAAACCGGTTGAGTAGATCAGGCACAATACAATGAAATGGCGTTTGTTCGCTAAAACTTCCAGTAAGACAAGCGTCATCCAGTCTAGTCGGTGTTCAGAAAAAACGATGGAATCGATTAATTTTCTTCGATGCGACAAATTCAGTTGACTGAATGAGTCTAAAAACTTGTGTGTTCATCACAATCCACCTATTCTGCAATTATAGTATGAGTATGGGCATGAAAAATAGCAGTATAGACAATTTTTAAATGACCCCCTCGTCCCATCCATCGAAACATTCGGTCGTATGCGATTCAGGCCAGATTGTCTTTACGACAGTACGTAGGTGTGAAAATGTTTGTACACCTCTATGCACCTCCCTTACTCTTAGTACCGATCCACATATCGCAGTTTCTCGGTCGTGCTCTTTGGTTCTCAACGATTTCCAGCCAAGCTTTCCAGGATTTGCCTACAAGCCAACTACCATGTTCAACCATGATGAAACTGTACGGCATGTAGTGATGATTCGCATTTTTCACCGGTGAAGTATTACATCGGTGGGTTGTGTTCGACCATCAATAAGCGTCTCCAGACACGAAGAGAGCTCAACGAAATACAAAATTGTGTGCGACTCTCTGCGAATGCCCATTGTGTCTGAAAGCTGTGACATATTCTGTCCCATTTGGACGCATAAATCATCCACCAGTTTTCATGTTTGTGACCATCAGTTCTCCCATCTACAATTTTCAACAATTCCAATGGTGCGTCCATTAAGGAGCTTCAGATAGTAGTGTAATGGATCGATAGAACGGGATGAGACTGTCAATACACTTCTCTTTCCATCTCTCTCCACTCTCTCTCTCTATTCATCGTCATCTTGTCTCTCGTCGCCTATTTCTTTCTGAATGAAAAAAATTAAAATATACTGTGACCATAGAATAGTTTAAATTCAGTTTGAAAATAAATCAAACGGTAGTATTAATCATAAGAACAAACAATTTTTCTCTAATGAAACAAAACAATTTATACCGGATTTTTTTTTAAATCGCATGACTTTAGACTTATCATTTAGTATTTCCATCACATTAACAGTAGTATGTGATGTTTCTGCATGGATTTGAATTTCAAGAAAGACCACTGCGTGCTCTTTGCTACTTTGCGATCACTCTCAATGACACTTCTTTATTCATCAGTTGATCGCGTAGGCTCCGTCCTTAGCAGTTTGAGATTTTGATATTAAGCCGGATGACAGCTGAGCTGGTCATCACCACATTGGAATGGCGGTTGTAACGCGTCGATTCAGTTAACTCTATCGTCCCGCTTCACCATGGTGAATTTCAATTCCAGCCACTCGACTACTGCCGTGCCATCACAGATAAAGATCGCAATGTCCTGGTTGGTTCGTGTATCTGGTAGCCAAGTTG